AATTCCACTGTACAATTTTTACTCCTTCAGTGAATCGTAAGGGTGTGTGTGTGTTTCTGTGTGTGCATATTTCAGTTCTTTTTATACCAGCGTTACTTTTTATGTACAGTCCCGCACACACAGATACATTCATGGCAACATATGAGCACGTTTGTTTGTGGCTTTTATGTGTTTGCGTGTTCGCTCGCCCACTAAAGATCCTTCAAGCTCTGGCGCTGTGCATTTTTTGGGGGTTTCTTATATTGTAAAGGGATTTACTTTCCCCTCTTAGCCACTGCCCCCTGCACCCGCTGATGACTCGCAAGCGAGAAGATGATAAAAATAAGTTTTTATGTGGCAAATAAATCATAAATTTTCCATATGCCCAGAAAATGTCTTCTTGCAAGAAAGGCAAATCAAGTGAAGCTACACAGAGAGGATGCATAAAATGGAAAAAGCTAACAGAAAGTAAATGAGAGAGGTGTATCGATCAGGTGGAGATTTCTGGATATATCTTGACTTGTATTCTCCAATAAAAGTTGCCTTAAATTTCTCTCAACCAACCCACAGCTAAATGAATGACCACCCCATGCCCATCGCCCTGCCCTTGACTTTACGTATGTGCCACATGTGTGAGCAACAGCTGAGGCGCAGTTCCTGTCGTATCTCAACGATTAATTAATGTCACTGACATTTGTCAAGTCGAGTTTCATAATTTGCACTCTTGCCCACCCTGCGGAGTACTCTGATTCCGATTTCCCCACTCTGATATGTGACTCATCTGGCACCTGCCTCACCCATCTCCACCCTTATGGGGGTTGAGGGTGCAGACATTAGTTTCAATAATAAATTAACCTGTAAGTCAAACTCGTCTGCTTATCTTGCCATAAGTCAGTGCGAGAGCCCAAGTCCAAGTCAGAGAGAGTTACAGCCAATGCCCTTTCGCACTCCACTGAGTCGTCGCGTAGCCAGTCGACTGAGGACTCTCTTGTGTGTGTGAGAACTATCTGTATCCTGCATCCTTTGTACACTCTGTCTCAGTGTGTGTCAATGTACTTGGCATGCAAGTGAATTTATTTTAGCGTTGCGACAAAACAGCTTCATGCCTTCCGGCACTGCTCTGTGCTGTCTATTCTCAGTGATTCTCAGCTTGCTGTTCGTGCAGCTCACAAAGTTTGTCTCCTTGTAAATTATTTATCAGCAAGTTGTACCTGAGCAACGGTTAATGCATGCGGAATAACAATTCCAACAACCCATAGCATCAGCATCAGCATCAGCATCAGCTTTGGCATTGGTCCTTTGGTTTGGTGAATCCCCAGCTACATGCTGCATTTCATTTATGAAAATCAATAAGCAGCTGCCGACTTAATTCGATTCGCTTCCCTTTTCATATCTTTGCAGCTTCCGTTGCCTGCCATAGCCACTGCCGCTACAGCCTCTTGCTGAAAGACTTTGATTGGAAACTGTGGCAGCATAGCAGGCAATTCGATTGAACTTAATTTGAGGGGAAATGGGGTCACGCCAGGACATTGACGATGACGATGACGATGACGAGGACGAGGATGACGATGCTGTGGCAAAGGACAAGCTTGATAACTTTTTATGCCTCCAATCCATATATATAAAAGTGGAGTAGGTTGGACCAAGAGTCATTTCATACATTGCTCCTTCAAATAGTGTGGTCTAAGAGCTCTAGGAAACTCTCCGTACAGACATTCGCTCCACAGAAAACCCAAAGATACAGGGCATCCAATAGTTGATCATTCAGAGCGTCCATTCCCTCTTTCACTTGTTGCTCTGTGAGGAAATCGCAAAGTGTTAGGCAATGTTCCACGGAGTACGCACCCTCCCGTCGCGACAAGGTGATTCCGCTGCACAAAGGGCACAGGACAGCAGTGTACAGAAGGATAGTTAAAGTACAAGAAACCGTTTAAAGTCCCCTCCCCCCCCCCCCCCCCCCCCCCCAAAAAAAATTGCGCCTCCTTCTCTCCCCCCCCCTCCCCCCTCGGCGCTGCCCGCGCCCCCCCGGAGCGGGAGAACGCCAACGCCCACCCCCCCCCCCCCCCCCCCCCCCCTCCCTCTCCCCTCACGCCCCCTCGTGCAGTGATTT